CTGCAAGTCAGAACTGCATCACCTCCTAGAGACACAGTGCCTTGGTTGGGAACATAAAAACATATATCTTGCTGGGTTGAACTCCTCGCTAACAGTGTCCATACTGCCACCATGTGAAAACTCCAAAAGGATTTTTTAAAGGTCATCTCCAGGTGTCGTGCCAAGTGTTCTGTCTTTGTACCGTCAAGAAATGGGTCTTGAAGAACCATTTCAGCCTCGAGGGATACCTAGTCTTTACCATGCCTTTGTTCGTTTGTGGTCTGCACTTCAAACTGGATACTGTTGACATAGGTAGGCTTTACAATATGAATGAAACACGTAAAGAAAGTAGTCTAATGCGTTTGTTATGAGCAACCGTTCATGCTAACTTTTGCTTTGGCTTAGCTGATTATTCTGGGCTGCCATTTCCATCTTTGCACCCCACTAAAGCAGAGGTTAAGAACAGCTCTTGTTAATATTTGAACTCTCAACTCTTTATATCGGAACTTGAGTCTTTGGCATTTTCACTTCTGGATTCATCAATAGTTTGGATGATATGTTAATAATTTAAGAATGTTACTTATTCCTAGTTCACTTTTTTAATAGGTCAGAAATGTGAATTCCAGGATGCTTACCTTCTGCTTAGTGAAAAGAAAATCTCAAATGTACAGTCCATTGTACCTGCCTTAGAGATTGCCAATGCACACCGTAAACCTGTAGTTATCGTTGCTGAAGACATCGATGGAGAAGCACTCAGCACCTTGGTTTTGAATAGGTTCGTTTTAATGTCTTCAGTCAATTAAAAACCTACAAACTAAAATTTAAACATACTTTTGTAAATATGTGCTCACATTATCTTTGGGTTAAAAATCAGAACTAATGTTTGTATAAAACAATTAACAAGGTGCGATGAATTGTGGAGAGTTGACATTTCGTGTAGGGACCCTTCTTCATAAATTCAACCTGAAACGTCAACTTTCCTGCTCCTCTGCTGCCGGGCCTGCTGTGTTCGTCCAGCTCCGCACTGTATCTCCAACTCCAGCATCGGCAGTTCTTACTATCTCTGAGATGAATTGTGTGTGGAATTAATGAGAATGACAAGCACCTGCTTTCTAGCTAAACAAAATTCAAGTTTGCTAAATGTTTTCAAAAACATTGGGTATTTCTGGTTCAATAATTTTCTATCTTGTTTGCATTTATTTATTTTAAAATGCTTGTTTCTAAACTATTAATTGTGTATATACAATTTCTCCTTCAGATTGAAGGTTGGTTTGCAGGTTGTGGCTGTTAAAGCACCTGGATTTGGTGATAACAGGAAGAACCAACTGAAGGACATGGCCATTGCTACTGGTGGTACAGTGAGTAGTATCAAATGTAAATAAACAAACATGTAGGAAATGCAGTGGTCTAGGTTTTTAGTCAGTGGTATTGCAATGGCCTTTGCCGTGAAGCATGAGCATAAAGGATTAAATGAAATTGAAGTTTGTTCCAGAAGGTAGCTCCATAACTTGATTTTAAAATTGATGGAAGTTACTTGCCAGCATAATTGGGAACTAAAGTCTGATTTCAATTATGTGGAGATTATGCAAACCGAGGTTTCAGTTTTGAGGAAGTATGATGCGAATTGGCCTCTGCTGTCATTTTGAAACAGTGTGCAATAATAGTGGATCAGTAATTAGCCCATCCAATCTGTTTGTTCGAGCAATAGTTCATTTCCCTTGATCACATACCTTTTCATAAATGTTTGGAGTCTCAATTACTAATTATGTAGTACACACTACCGTACCTCGGTCCTGTCATTCCCCTCTTTTCCTAAGTTAAAGATCAGTGTAGGATATTTTTGTCCCCTTATTCTCTTCTCCTTTTTAAACATTAAGACATTTTCTATCTGTAAAGATCCATTCGATCATAATTTTAAATGTCTTAAAATTCTGTCAAATCACATCCATCGTTCCTCAGTCCTAAATAAAACAGCCCCATTTTACAAACTCTTTGTATTTTTTTAACCAGAGATGGAACTATAAAGAACTGCAGAGAGGGATGAAAAATTAGGGTGTAACCCTGTATTTTAAAGTGGGAAAGTTATGGTAGATTATAATTCATTGTATAGTGTTTTTCTTTTACCCACCACTAAACCAGTGTGCTATGATCATATTTTGATAGTATGTAATAAATACACTAAATATTTGTAGTAAAAAGTGGAACGTTTTGCCTAAATATACTCTTTTATTTACAATATTGATCAGTGTTGCTGAGGTTTGTGACAAATGCATTGTCTGTCTGGTTTGATCCCTGATTTTTGTTGGAAAGTGAGCATGTGGCCAAATAATGAATTGGGCTTTAAGTTCGCTATGATTGATTGTATAATTACCTCTCTCATCTGGACAAGCACAAAGGATAGCCAGTAAGAGGGACCTGAACTTTAGAAGAGAATGAAATAATAGTGTAAAGAGTGTATTGACTTTTTTTTTGTTCCAGGAAAGTGAAATTTATACATTGTTTCCATGTCCAAGTAATAGATCTATAATTAACATTTTAAGTGCTTTTTACATTTGTGTATTGGTGCACATCTAAATTGAACAGTCAATAAATTGAGGAAATGATAAACTTGTATTTTTTGAGGATTTCAATAAACTGACATTCTGTAAAATAGAGTAAAAGATTTACTTTGGAATTAGAATTTTTCTTTCTGCTAGTAGAGTGTAGTAAATTTATGATTTGGACCTCTGTTTTAATACAGTGTCTGTGTAAACATTTGTAGGTATTTGGGGATGAGGCACTTGGACTGAATGTGGAGGATATCCAGGCCCATGATTTTGGTAAAGTTGGTGAAGTCGTAGTCACCAAAGATGACACCATGCTGTTGAAAGGCAAGGGTGACAAGAGTGCCATTGAACAGCGCATTCAAGAAATCACAGAAACATTAGAAGTTACGACAAGTGATTATGAGAAGGAAAAGCTAAATGAAAGGCTGGCCAAATTATCAGATGGTGTGGCAGTATTAAAGGTAAATAATTTGTAGACATACTACTCGTATGCATAAGTGGTGTGGTCATGTATGTGTGTACAGATAGGTCTTAATGTATTTGGTTTGAACTAAGCTGGCTTAGCTGCACTGAGCAACATTAATACCAAAAAATGGCATTAATAATCAACTGTGCTTCTAAACCAAGGTTTAATGAAAATATTAAGGAAGTGGTTACATTAATGTGGCTGGAATACCAACTTTGAAAGCTGCATATTTAATCTAATAATGACATGGTTAATATTGTTTCCAACCCTGAATTTAAATGACACTTGACCGTTAACTATCTTTCTGAAGTATTCTTTCTTAATTCTGGTTACATTGAAGCTTCCTGTAGAAGAGTACTCAGAGCTGCAAGCCTTTACTTTCAATTGATTGCCACATTTAATTTGTGAAGCTGCTTCTCATGCCATTTTATAGACCTGTGGAGTCAACAGTCTTAGATTTAACTACAAAAGTGACGGAAGAGACTTATTTTATGGTTGAAAGTGTATTGAACTAACCATTGAATTATGGATCTAGATTGGAGGTACTAGTGACGTGGAGGTGAATGAGAAGAAAGACAGAGTGACTGATGCACTTAATGCTACTCGAGCCGCTGTGGAGGAGGGTATTGTTGTTGGTGGTGGATGTGCTCTACTGCGGTGCATCCCAGCATTGGGTGATCTTCAACCAGTCAACGAAGACCAAAAAGTTGGTAAGTAGTTCATCAGTATTTAGCTCTTGTTTGTTCATTTTCAGCTACAAGAAACAGGTCTTTAAAATACCTAATTAGGAACATGCTGCTGGGGGAACAGGAGTAGGTAATTCAGTCCTTAAAGGCTGAGCTGCCATTCAGTCAGATTATGGGTGATGTTTGTAGTCTTAGTTCCATTTGCCCATCTACTTCCCAAAAGTCCATTGTCTATCAAGAATCTACCCGACTCTGATTTAAAGACCCAGTCTCTCCTGTTTTCTGAAGATTTCCACATTTTATGGCCCTCTGATCGCTTCAGAGCTCTTAACTTTTTTTTGTTCTTAAATTGTGCCCCTAGTTTGATTTTCCCACAAGAGGAAACATCCTCCTAGTATCCTTTTGATAAGTTAAGAATGGAAGGTGATCTTATCAAAGGTAAGACCACCCTGTTCAGCCTTTTAAGTCCTTTAACCCTACATTGGAGTCAAGTGTTTGCCTATTTTGAGGTGAGAATACAGTAATCCAAGTTTACAATTTGATCCGACTTGAGCTTGTCACCTCCAGTCTTGGGGGCTTTGGTAAATGGTGATATTAGCATAACCGTCTCCAAAAGGAAACATTGTCCTTGATTTGGATTTTGTTTTACTAGTTCAACACTGCATCTGTAAAATCCATGGCCTACATTGAGTATTATTAAATGTTCCCTCATTTATTTACTGTGGTTTGTTGTCCTGTCATCTTCCATTAAGATTGACTGTGACTTTGTAGCTGTGCATGTGTACAACTTAGTTCAAGTTTGAAGTCTTAATAACCTAGAACTGAGCAAGTTGCATGTGACTTGATATTTGTGGAGGATAATGATGAAACAGGGTGTACACTTTTTTTAATGGATTTGTTTAAATTTCTATAGGAATTGACATTGTTAGCAAAGCTCTGAAAGTACCTGCTATTACAATAGTCAAAAATGCTGGAGTTGAAGGAAGCTTAATTGTGGAGAAGATCCTACAGAGTCCACCAGAGATTGGCTATGATGCAATGGCTGGGGAATTTGTAAAGATGGTAGAAAAAGGAATTATTGATCCCACAAAGGTATCCCTTGTTTATGTATATAATATTTCTATAGCTTCTGGATTTTCACTTTATTCTATTTCTTTTATGGCCCATCTAAGAATACTCCATTTCACTAAGTCTCTGTAGATACGTAGACCCTTGATTTGCTGTGGGTCATTAGCAACAGAGTGCAAGAGCGTATGTCAGGCATGTCTGTGCTATGATCCATATTCAAGAAAACAAGGTAAAGAAGTGATTTGGATAGAGCTGAGAAATATTTAAGATAAATCCCACTTGGATTGGTATACAGGCCCCTTAACCACGTGACAAAAGGATTGGAAACTTTTCAAAGGTAGAAAGGTGAGTTCAAGACTTGTATTTTTAAAAACTCGAATAAGGGCAGTTTTGAGGGCACGAAAGCTGTCTGAAGTGAATTTGACATTAAGGAATAGGTTAAAAAAGCTGCAGAAAAGTAATTACAGTTGGAGCACTAACCCATATGATTCTTTAAAACTTAGACTAGTAGTAGACTGAACAGAACTTTTCCTCTCAAGTATGAAGAGGGCTGGAGAAACTCTGATCTAGAGTCATCAGTAGGGGGGGGGGAAAGAGTTGAGTGCTTTTGACAACATTAAGCTAATTTGTTTAACTTCCATTACTGCTTCTATCCTAGAACTCCCTCGTTAACCTTGGCATCCCCATTATTGCAGTGGTTCAAGGTAGATCACCACCATCCTGAAGAGTACTAAATGCTGGCCTAGCCAAATAATGCCCACATTCTGTGAAAAAACAAAGTTTCCTAAACTTCAAAATACCCACCCCACACTGTTTGGGATTAAGTTACCCTCTTTATCCGCACTGAATCGCTGCGGTTTTCTGAATGGAATATAAACTGATTAAATTTTGTTTGTTTTTTTTGGCAGGTTGTGAGGACTGCCTTGCTGGATGCAGCTGGTGTCGCCTCTCTCTTGGCAACAGCAGAAACCGTAGTCACAGAGCTCCCAAAGGATGACAAAGCACAAGGAATGGGGGGTATGGGTGGCATGGGTGGTGCAGGGATGGGTGGTGATATGTTTTAATTCCTTGTATCTTTTCCTATGAAAAGTGACTGACATGTTAATATGGTCAATTGAATGGCTGCTTCCACTAGGAGATTACCAGATGAATAAATATAAACCAGGCTGAACAGACAATAGCTCTATTGCAATATTTCTAATTAAGTTAATGCAGCCATGTTGGACTGTGCTGGATCTCAAGCAATTTGTTTACTGCCCTCTGTCAGTACTATTGTAACTTATTTTATATTGAATTAAAAATCAACATTTGTACATTCCTTGGAGTACTGAAAGTGTAAACCACCTGAAATTCATTGGTTTTATGGTAACAGTACTGTGCTGACAATAAGTAACAAATTAAATGATCAAGGCAGGTTTTCTGTGAAAAACCAGACTGATCTGTACTCTTTCCAGTGCAGTGTGAGTATATCATGTAATATTGCCATAAATAAAACAGATGGCTATCACATTTTGACTTGTGGGGTAGTTTAATAGTTTCAAATAAAATTGTTTTTTCTAGAAGATCATGATTGCTATTAAAATGATCAGATTGAGCATAGACAACTTAATTATACATACCTCAATACCCTATGGAACATTTAATGGGTTTTGAAATTACAGCATGGAAAGACCCTTTTGGTCCAACTTCATCTGGTTGGCATTTGACCCATATCCCTCAACACTCCCTACTCATACCCATCCAGGTGCCTATTAAAGTGTTGTAATTACCATCTCCACTTCCTCTAGTAGTTCATTCAATGCATGTACTATAGTTAAAAAGTTACCCTCCAGGTCTGTTTAAAATCTCACTATCTTTAAACACATGCCCTGTAGTTTTGCACACTGGACCTGCAAAAAAGATGTGGTTTATAAAATCAGGTGGGGTATGGATAGAGGTCACCCCTCTCCAAGCTCTAGTGTACCCTGGAAAATAGCCCCAGCCTATTCGGCTTACTCCTATAATTAAAAACCTTCCACTCCCAGCACTATCCTTGTAAATTTTTGAACCCTCTGAAGTTTCACTTTTCCTATGTAGGGCGACTAGAACTGAACCCAGTATTCCAAAAGTGGCCTAACCACTGTCTTGTAAAGCTAGAATGTGACATCCCAAACTCTTATACTCAATGCATTGACCAATAAAGGCAAGTGTACCAAATGCCTTCCACACACACACCTATGACTCCACCTTTTAAGGAACTAGGCACCTACACATGGCACAACCCATGATGCTACCATTAAGGGTGGAATTCCTGCAGCACCTCCATTTGTCTAAATTAAACTCCACCTGCCACATCTCAGAACCTTCTTCACTGTCCACTACACCAGCACTGTCATCTGCAAACTTACTAACCTTTTCTCTTATTCACACCCATTCTTTCCTACAGATGCTGATTAAGCTATTAATAAAGTTTAGGTTGAATAATAAGCATTGTTAGTGTAGTATTTCATCTATTTGGAAGTAATTTACAGTGAAATCATGAGGCACAAATAACATTAAGTCATAAATACAGCATAATTTTATTGTCCCAGTTACAAACTGGAGCTAATTTCTATGGAATATGTGGGCAGTTTAAATTATAACTGCCCAAAGATGACTTAATACTTCACAGTACTTACATGTGCACACTTTCATCCATGATTAAATGAATGAGTGTTCCCTGTTTTGACCCAACACACACAGGTGTAACCAGTACAAAAAAAGGTTTAACTCATGCAAATAGAAACTTATGCTACTTCTAATGTGGACTATTTAAAAGGAGAGGACAATGTGTTCAAAGATTTCAATGTCATACAAGAGGCTTGAGTTCAGAAGATTAATTTTAGTCCTTTGTGGAGGGGAGCTAGAATTATTGAGGAAACAAACTCACGTTGCACTTGCACATTATTGGCAAAGACTGGAGAACATGACAAGCTGCCATGCAAGACTGGCAAAGGAGAAAGGCTGAAATCTTGCTTGTATTGGATATCTTCATTTGTTAATCTACATTTAAAACAAGGTTTTAAGAGTTCTTGGTGCTTGAATGTAGCACTAAATTGAGACTAACCATGAATTTTGTTTCCATAAATTAACACTTAAATATTAAGCTGTTATGACAATTGGACTTGTAGATGCATTCATCTTAGGGGAGACAGACTTCAGAAAATAGTTAAGGCATACAGCTTAAAATTACATGAAAATCTGTCAGCCTTTGAATGTATAATGTGACTTTCTGGAATTAGTGTTTGACACTAAAATTTAACTGCTCATGTTACCTGAACAGCCCAAAATATCTCTTCATAAATAGAAGGTTGGCTGCCTTCTCCATCTGCACAGGTTAAAACAAGTTATTGCAGCCAGTCCAGCTTAATGCACCACAACATGTGGACAAATTACATTTAGTTACAGCTGAAATATCTGCACTTTATATACATGTATACTTGCATCTATATAATGCATTTTCTATATATGTAACACTTTGCCAGAGGGGCTTTCCAAGAAGATTACAGTGTCATATTATAAAATCAAGTGATACATGTAGGTAAAGAAAATCGCTCCCACATTTGCATATGTGGAAAAGCACCACACTAATAAATAAATTATACAACTTTTTTTTTTTTTTAAAGGGGACCTACAACGGCTCCTTCCAACCTTTATTTACGTTTGATGCACCTCATGAAGCATAAGTTCTCGTGGGATGTTGGTTTCCGGACCATACATTTTCTTTGCTCTTCTTTCAAACGCTGCTACCATCTGCTTAACAACTTCATCAAAAAAAACAGTGGCAAGTTGAGAGTGCAGCAAAGAACGGAATTCAAAAGAAATCTGTAGGTAAGAAAACAAGATTAAATGGAGTTCTCTTTTACACCTCAGAGAACAGTACAGAAAACTAATTTGTTTAACTTAATACAAATTTAAAATCCAAAAGGCAATTAACATCATGTGATCTAGCCAAGTTATGAGAATTTTTCCACACGTTCCTGGACTTGTCAGTTTACACCAATTTTCACTTCCAGAATTAGGTCTCTGCTTTATCACCACGGTCTTGGTTATCTTCCCATTCATTCTTAATCCATGTTGGTATGGTCAAGTTGGACCAAAGGGTCTGTTTCCATGCTGTACATTTCTTATGACTCTATATAATTCCTAAGGGGAGGTGCTCAGATCTTATCAGTACTTCAAGGAGGACATAAGCAGGGTTTGTATAACTGCAGCATAACTTCTGCATCCTTATACTCCAGTCCTCTAGGTATAAAAGGCCAGCATTCATTAGCTTTCTTGGTTATTTTCTACACCTGTTAGTGATATTTTAAAGATCTATACATGTGAACCCCCAAGTAACTTTGGACATCTGTATTCAACTTTATACCATCTGGAAAGTACCCTGATCTATCCTTAGATAACAAGGTGTAGAGCTGGATGAACACAGCAGGCCAAGCGGCATCAGAGGAGCAGGAAGGCTGACGTTTCGGGCCTAGACCCTTCTTCAGAAGGGTCATTTCTGAAGAAGGGTCTAGGCCTGAAATGTCAGCCTTCCTGCTCGGCCTGCTGCATTCATCCAGCTCTACATCTTGTTATCTCAGATTCTCCAGCATCTGCAGTTCCTACCATCTCTGATCTATCCTTAGATCCTATATCTATTTGGTCACATCATAAGCAGACAGAATTATCAAAGATCAACCAAAAACACAACAGGAAACAATAGAAAAAAAAAATGACTAATACAGTGGCCTGGATGCAACTGACCTATGAGAAAATATGGAAGGTCAGCACAGGACAGGTGAATATCCATGGCGGTCAACCTTCAGCGAACATGACAACACCAATGCACAATCAAACACCATTTACAGATCTTAGAACAATTTAAAGGCTCTTTTCAGCTATACCTCAGATTACAGTCACTGTTGTGATGCAAGAACCTGGAGGACATCTAAAACTCCTTTTATCCCTGATTTGCACTAAATTATGTTTATCCATCACCCCTAAGCTCATTGACTTACAATGGCTCCAAGACCACCAATAATTCAAATTTTAAAATTGTCAACCTTATTTAAAAATCCCTCTAGGGTTTCACCCTCTCCCTAGCCTGCAATGCCAGAAGATTTGCGTTTCGAAGTTCTCTACTTAGCCAATTCTGGCTTCTTGTGCTTCTTAATCACTGCAACTTTGATCGTTGTGTTCAGCAGTCTTGCCCCAAATGTCTGAATCCCCTCCCTTGGCCTCTGATATTCAGGACACTCTTTGCGCACTTATCCTATATCTCAACTGCAGCAAGGTGATAGAAATCAGAAGCAAAAGAATCAGTATCTTTGAAGAAAGTCAAATGTTTCATGAAGCCTAAAAATATTCAGTAAACACAATTTTAAAAAAAAAACAAAAAAAAAAAACTGGATGCTGGAAATCTGACAAAAACAGAAATTGGTGGACATATTTACAGAGCTAATATTTCAAATCCAGTGATCCTTTTTCAGAACAAAGTTCTATAGAAGGGTCACTGGACTCAACATTAACTCTGCTTTCTCTCCACTGATGCTGCCAGACCTGCCGAGTTTATCCAGGAGTTTCTGTTTTTCGTTGTACAAGTGCAATTAATTGTTTTACAAAAGGCAAATCCATTTCAAGTAACACTGATCAAAGAATAAGCATTGACCATGACACCAAAAAATATTGCCCAAGAATTAGAAAGAGCACAATGGGGTTTTTGTGTTTATATTAAGTGTTCACTAGAGCAAACCTGTTTAATTTTGGAGCCAAAGACAACACTTCACCCAGAGCACAGCAGTCCCTCATTACTGCTGTAATTAGCCTCAATTGTGCACTCAAATTTCTACAGTGGAACATGAATTCACAATCTTCTGATTCAGAGACAAGAGTATCACCATCAAGCCACAGCTGACAGTTATATTAGGCATTCCTTCTCCTGTGAGGGATTATTCTTCCTCATCTTTTCCATTAATAAAAATAGGCACCTATGCAAGTTGAACAGCTTTTATGACAAAGATAATCTTGTTACCACCAATTTCCAAATTGAGAGAATACAATTACAATTACAATTACAATTACAATTCTGCATAAAACTGTTAGATGAGTACCCAACCAATGACAGGACACTATAGAGCTCATAGGAGCAGAGGGATCTTGGGATGCTTGTCCACAGATTCCTGAAGGTGGCAGGACAGACTAATAGGGTAGTTAAGGCAACATATAGGACACTTGCTTTTATCAGTCTTCACATAGATTACAAGTAGGGGAGGTCATGTTGGAGCTGTACAAAACTTTGGTAAGGCCACAGCTGAAGAAGTGGGCCTGCAGTTTTGGTCAACGCTCTATAGGAAGGATGTGATTGCACTGGAAGAGGTGCAGAGGAGATTGATCAGCATGTTGCCTGGGATGAAGCAGTTTGTCATGAAGAGAGGTTGGATAAAGGCATGGATTGGGTGAATAGCAAGCAGCCATTCCCCTTAGTTGAAGGATCAATAACAAAAGGGGCATAATGAAAGACAGGTGGTAAAGAGCATTTGAGAATGTTCCCCCCACGCCCTCAATCAGAGGGTGGTAAAAACCTGGAATGCACAGCCCAGGAGGGCAGTTGAGAAGGGAAACCTCAACTTTTAATAAAGTACTTGGATGAGTAACCGAAAAGGTTGTCACATTCAAGGCTACAGGCCAACTGCTGGGAAGTGGAACTAATGTAGATTTAGAGTATTTTTTGTCAGTTCACACCCGAAAAGCCTCTTCTATACTGTATGATTCTATGGAATATCTGCAAAAGAAGTTAAAAGATATCCAACATTAAACTTATGGGATGGAGCAACAGCAAAAACAAAAATTAGGCACTACAGTCTTAGTGAAAAATTAACTAGTACATGGCAATGGAGTTGCAAAATAAAATTATAGAGAAACTATCCATGATGAATAAGCAACAGCTGCAGATGATGTGCTGTTTGCCAAAGTGAGCACTCAGCAGCTCCTGAGCTCCTTGTGCAAGGGATTTTCAACAAACCCTTAAGCATTCCTAAAAGTTATGTTAATGTCCTGAATTGAGAGATGATCCACTATGAATGCAAGTCTTTTTCCAAGAGAATCTGGCATTAAACTCCAAGAAGAGACATAAAATGCAATGAAGGCCACTTGCGCAAGGGTTGCAAGAGAGCATGAGGGCACTACGTGATAATTTTTGAAGGTGGTGATTTCTGTGAAGCGTGCCAAGGTCCTGGTACTTGATTAACAGTCTGAAGTTCACAATGCATTTGCACCTCTGGATGTTGCCTCCCAACAATTATAATGTGGTTAGAACATGGGTGAATTGAATGTAAGCTGCACTTTTGGCTTGATAAATTTGATGGCCTTTTCTCGCTCTTCTCTTAAGTTAATGCATAAAGTCAACTTTTGATTTGCCCAAACAAGATTAATAGGAGAATAAGGAAAAATATCCTTAATTAATAAATGTGGACAATACAACAGGTTAGAAAATACTAAACACAACAACTGGTGTTAAATCAGCTGTTCTACTGACTACAGGAATGAACAGATTTTTTTCTAGTCAGTAAAAGTTACAGTCAATCTAAAACAAATGAAGTTTGAGGCAAGTCTCATAACCTACCGAAAAGTCAACAGTGCAGGTCCTTGGATATCCAGGAACCCCAGGACTGAATCGCCAATTTGTCTCCAAATGATTAAATAGTCTCCCATCAGTACAAGAAGCCTGAAATTAATGTTTAATAATGTTAGTTATGTGATAAAATAAGCACCACAATTCAGTAGATTCTTCACGTTAAATGAAATACTTCGACATATGCAAATTGTAGTCACATTATCCAAGTAAATATGCCAGGCTACAAAATTTCAGAATTTAATCATACAAGAGGTTCTTAGGTGGTCAGCCCAGTGCTGTAATCACTATGCAACTGAAACCTGCTTTAAGAAAATGGAAATAACTGACTCACTCATTCTGGTCACATTTGCAGATGAAACAGGATATGTTTAGAAAAGAAACTGAGATTTCCAGAGACTATAGGCATTAAGTGTTATAGAAAGAGAGCAGGAGTACAGCATTGAGATAGAGGGTTGTCTATGATCGTATTGAATAGCAGAGTGGGCTTGATGGTCTACATAGCATGCTCCTATGAAACAAGTGACAGGCCCCACCCAGTCATCAATCCACACAGTTTTTTCCCAGCCAAAATTACTTTTAAAAATATTTGTGGGATACAGAATACCCTGAAAAAAAAAATCAGATTCCTGTCCACTAACTAAGCTGCATAAATAGAAAATTAGTGAGATGGGGTTTGGTAGGAGGCAAAATGGTGATCGGCAAGCAAGATGCAATGTACACATAACATTATTTTTACAATTGGATATGGATATCACTGGTTGACCCACCATTAATGGTCAATTGTTTTGGAGAAATTGGTAATGAGCTGCCTTCTTAAACTGCTGCTACACTTGGGTATTGGGACAGTTACTGTTCTGTTAAGAAAGGAGTTCCACAATTTTAACCAAATGACAGTAAAGGAATGGCAATATTCCATGTATCTGCTACCCTTGTCATTCTAGGTGACAGACTGCAGTTTTGGAAGGTGCTGTTCCATATGCAGTCATTTGCTTGAGCAGGCAGTTGAAAATGAAGAGTTGCTGGTGATTATGCCTTGGAGTTAATGCACTATCAAGGACTGTGAATAAGGCTGATTTAGGCTATGTGCTGGACACTGACCAGTATCTAGGAATGACAGAATGGTTACAGCACTGCAAGAGGCCATTCAATTCAGCATGCCCAAGGAACCCACATGGGAAAATGCAGTGCAGTTTATAGATGGCATACACTTCTGCCATTGCACTTCAGTGGTGAAGGGAAATAAGGTCTCAGACAGGGTGCCAATCAAGATTCCAGCTTTACCTTTAATGGTATTAAGCTTCTTCACAGCATATTTGGAATGAGCAGCCATCCAAGCCAGTGGAAAGTTTTCCACCACACACTGGACTTGTGCCTTTTCAACAGTGTACAGGCTTTGAGGAGACAGGAGGACAGTTACTGGCTGCCGAATTCCTAGCTTCTGACTTATTCTTGTAGCCACAGTATTTATTCGGCTGGTCGAGTTCAGTTTCTGGTCAATGTCCCCAGGGTGTTGGTAAGAGGGGTTTTGGCGACGTTCACGTCATTGAAAGTCAAGGGATGACGATTAAATCTCACTCAATGGAAATGGGAATTTCTGCCATTCTTGCCTGGCAATGTTACTTACCAATGATTAGTCCAGGCCTTGCTGTTGTCCAGGTTTTGCTGCACATGAACAATTACTGCAGCATGATTGGACAGTTTACAATTATGCTTTCTCATAGAGGGAAATTTCAACTGTGTCACCAAGGTGGAACGGATCTGACCAGAGTATTCCTCACAAGCAGGCAAGGAGGAAAATTAACAGTAAACAAGACACCCCTCAGATTTATTTTGCTGCTTCTGTGAATGACAGAAACCTTGGATCTGGTCCCAACCCATCACTGCAGTCAGTGTTATCAATGGAGGAAGGGAAGTGTAAAATAAGTTAGCGTTAAATTTAATTTCTTCTTTCTGGTACATGTCAAAGTTCAACAATTAAGCTAGCAGAGAAGGAGATACTAAGCCATATAGGAAAGGTGGTTTCAAGTTGCATTTCTGATTTAGCTGATTTTATACAGGCATAGGATTAGTACAACTGGCTGTACCATTCTTTGTTGGAAGAGGGAAGAACTGTCTAGGTTTTATTCTTGATGACTATCCAATGATTTCTGTTATGAAGTGAATCTTCCTGACAGTCGAGTATAGATAGCATCAAGTTTAGTTGTAAAAACCAGCATATACTGTCAAATACATAATTGTGGCACTGGAGGGTGGAACTCAGCAGAAGGAGCTCAAGAACGAGAGCTAGGAAAAAAAGAGAATAGAAATCTACCAAAGATAGAGGATAGCAGTGCCTATCAACCTGTAGCCCACGCTTAGATTTCTAAGCACAGTATTAGCTTAAACTCCTTTAATTATACACTGCATGCTTCAACTTACTGAAGGTCACCCATTTTAGAAAAAAATGGGGTAAATTTAGGTAATTTGACATACAAGTAAACATCAGATTATTGTTCAAATTAAGACTTTCTTGATTGAATTTTTTTTTTTTTTTTTAAATACATATGAAAATTTAAGCTTCCCTAATGGTTCAGTGTTTTAATTCAGTGGGGAACTGAATTATGCATACTAGAGATGTTCTGGATTTGATTGCCAGTCTGTGCTGATACGGTTAGTAAGTGATAAGAGTATAACAACAGGTCTCCATTCTCCTGCTTCAGCAAGGAGCATCGTGGTGGATGTACTTGATCTTAGCTCCTGCTTCCATATGCAGTCATTCGATAGAGCAGGCAGTTGAAAAGAAAGAGAGTTGCTGGTGATTGCGACTTCGGAGTTACTGCACTAATGAAGGATTGTGAATAGGGTTGATTTGGGCCATGTGCTGGAGATTGATCATTATCTGGAATCACGAAATATAGTTACAGCACTGCAACAGGCCATTAAGTTTAGCATGCACATGGCAACCTGTCACAAGTGAGGAATCGACACCTCTGGAAGTGAAGAGGCAAGGAGCAAATTAGGAAAGGAAAACCCATGAAAGTAAGATTTCCAAACTGTGTAAAAATATCCAACTCAATTTTTAAATACACAAGAGAATTCTTAACATTGAAACATTACCTTAACTAAATGTGGTCGCACCAAAGTCACAACCGAAGTGTACCGTTCAACTATTGGTGGAAATCCTATTTCTAGCTGAGCTTTAGCGTACCCAGAGCGTTTAGATATGATGTCTGATTTCTTGCACCATGGTACAAAATGCTTGTAGTCAGCAACACCAGACACTACATTGTACATTTCCAGCATTGAAAACCTAAAACAAATTAAGATTCAAATTTACTATCAAAACTGACATACAAGTGACAAAATAAATCTTAGACAACATCAAAACCACGAACCCCATTACTCGTCTCTCAGAATACTCTTTCTTCTTGTTTATTAGTGGCCCAGCAAGGTTGAAAAAGTTTGTTTGTTGTATAGGGCAATGTCTTGGTGTCTTGAGTAACGGAGTTCTGTTCATTAGAATGCCACAAGATGACAGATACCTGTTATTGGAAATATTAGAGTTACTAATGACATTAAAGCTTTATTCTGTTGTACATAAATCATTGAGTTCAGCGCACAGTTTGTTACCTATAACAGACAAAAAACTGTTAATTTCCTTCCCCCACACTTAACCACTTTACCTATTTCATTTTGGACCCAATAGAACTCAAAATGATTTGAAATTGAACAAAGTGAAACTTAAACTTTTACCATTGCCTCTAACATGGACAGAAATTCATTTCACAGATTGGTTTCTTCGGTGGGTAAACTTAGAGACTTCAATTTAACTCCATTCTAAAGCCAATCCATCTGACACAATTCAGCTGACACTGGCATGCTGACAGTACTGAGACACGAATAGAGTGCCAGTTGTCTTCAATACTCAATTGCTCATCAAGCCAGCTAAAACTGGATCAAACATTCAGTTGATTTTGTAGAAGATGAGAAAATAATGATGTTATGAAGGGGAAAATAAAATGCAAAATTATTGTCATATAGCACAGGACTGAACTATAAACATCATAAAAGCCTAAAGTTCAAGCTTCAGTCTGCTGGCAGATTGTAGGAGGATGATGATAAGTGGGATACAAAGTTTTTCCTCAGTTCTTGGTTATGTAAGAACAAAAAGCAAAACAAAACACAGCTTTCCAGTTCCTAATTGATATCTATGAAATCAGTATCCAGTGCCAAAAGGATTTGGTTCTTCTGATGGATTCCACTACAAAATCTCTTCAAATCAATGTCTAAGGTAGGATGCAAGTACCCTTTGAATTAAAGGCATCATTCATTGCATAGGAGGTAGAAAAAGTTCAAATGCAACAATTCTTTTAAAACAATTCAAAACATATGGATATTTTGTGCAACGTGGACTCAATGTCCTCCCCAGTCCTATCTCCAGGTTCTTCTGTAAACATCCTCCCATAGTTTGATAACCCCATACCTTTCTGGAGAAGCAAAGATTAAAAGATATGATGCAGACAATACCCTTAAGTGATAGAATCACAAAATTTTATTTCAGCATAGGAAACAACCATTTGGCCCACCATGAGCAAGACACTCAAGTACCATTCCTCGTAACCTTTCCCCTTGTTCCTTTTTGGGTAATTGAATTCCATCTTGAACACCAAGCTGAACCTACCTCCACCACCTCGCAGGCTGTGTATTCCAGATCTTAACCACCCACTCCATGGAAAAAAGTTTCCCTTCATAACTCCATCGCTTCTTTTGAGCAATTGCTCTTAGGAATAATATATATTTGGGACAAAACACTGATCTACAAATTTATAATCAGAAGAAAGCACAGCTGCAATGAGAATTACAACCAGATCACGCAGATCCTGGCCTGTTGGAAACGAAAAAGTGCCAAATTGAAACAATGTTAACCATTATACAAAAAAAAAGAGAAGAGATGTTAGAAGCATAAAATACTTAGTAGTGCTGGAAATATTCAAGTCAGTCATGTGACAACTGTACAAAGAAACAATGGGGCAGGAAGAACAAAAAAGGAAGGCACATATCACACAGGAAGCAAAATCAAGTAATAGAAGGGACAATGGTATAACAGCAAACAAGTGTGGTTAGAGGCAAGAAAGAAAAAAAAAAGTCAAGAGGAGGTATAAATGGAATTTGCAGAACGACCACAAACATTTGTAATCTGAAAAAAAAAGGAGTCTGTTGATGCGACGGTTGCAGTAAATGTGGATTCAAGAAGGTTACAAAGCATCTAAATGAAAAGATCAGGTGCTGTTATTAACCTTACAATGAGCTTCATCGCAACAGCATAAGAGAACAGAAACAGAGGGGTCAGAGTGGGATTGAACTGAAGAACAAACATGACAGGCAACCAAAAGCTCAAGGCCACATTTGCTGACTGATCTCAAATATTATCATGAGCAACAATTAAACTTACTATATTAGAAATACTAGTAAATTACTTTCTCACCTGGAAGGAATGTTTGGCGCTCTGGATGCCAGAAAGAGAGGTGGTTAAAGGGCAAATGTTACATCGCCTGCTATTTAATTTCTGCCCTCTCATGTCCAAAGCCCAAGGACATGAAATTCCTCTGCACGGCCATCTCTCACTAAGACAGCCCAAAGATGATCAGTTTCTGTCTTGAAACAGAGCTCAACCTGTGTCCATTCATTACATTCTTAAATTGAACAACTTTTCTTTTAACTCTATTCATTTCCTCCAAAAATGTTTTTACATGATATTTGGAATACTCTTAATCTGACTCAGGCCTCACTTTCTCCTGTTACAATAGTTTTGGTACTGTTTCCAGCTTTTACCCTCAACCGGAAAAGTTTATCAACCTCGTTTCTAATTTTCACTAACAGCCGACTTGTCTCACTGCCTGTGAGGACTCCTTTCCTTTCTCAGTTCCTCAGTGTCATCTGTACTGAAAATGTAGCCTTCCATATCAGTAATTTTGTGGTGCTTTTCCTTTTTCACAACCCCTTCACCCTTAATAAAAATAAAATGCTGAAAATACACAGCAGGCTTGACAACATTTGTTGAGGTGGAAGAAGAGATTTGCTCAAGAAAGACATCTTACCATTGTTCATTGTAATGCATTCATTCAAAAATGCGCAAGGTTTGAACATACTCCTTTTGTTTGAAGGGAACAGGTTCCTGTGTACAACTATGTTGCTTCTAGCAAATATAATAAGCTGCATGATGAACTCCATAGATTACTTTAAATTGATACTTAGCGTAACAATGCTCTGGATTGTTCAGCAAGTGCTACCCAATCACAGAATCACATCAAATAAGAGGTTTTATTTGGAGCTTTGAAAGTTTAGACCAGTAGAGTATAATCTATAGTCTGCCTATGACACAGAGAAACACATTCCTGAATAACCCTGAATGCCTTTTTGAACCACCAAGCAGTACTGAAAACCTATAGTTTCCTGTTTATCCATGATAATACCTCACCAGACGACATGTCAAACAGAATCAAGACAATCTTTTTACTGTGTGTTACAGCTTATCATGCCTTTTGAAATTTTGCATTTTTAAATTAGTCCTGATGAATACAAGCTAAAAACTTCAGTAACATTTAAGTTTTGTACTACCAAGGGACTACATATACTAAAAACAAAGATACTGTTTCAGGTCTATGATATTTCAGCTTTCTCAGAACCTTTGACCATGCCCATTGCATTTGTAAAACTTGTGTTCCGACGCATTCCCCAACCACCTAGAACAATTATATGGCCACCCCGTCAACCTCCACACTCAAAAGGATCATCTTCAATCCTTTTTGCCAATGCCACCAAACACTTTTCGTCCCATCTTCCTCAGTAATCCAAAGAGATAGTTTTCTCCTGCTCCACTTAATTGCCTTACAAATTTCCCCTTCTTGCAGCACCTTCCCATGGACAGAATGCAACACCTAACCTTTTATCTCCTAACTATCCAGCACACCAAGCACTCCTTCCAAATGAAGCAGCAAATGTAATGCACTTTCAATTTAACATAATGTAGTCACTCCTCACAATTACACCAAGACCTATCATTTGTGTCGTTATTTGCCCAATCACTATTTGCTTTTGCCTTACACCACCACCCACTTGATAATTAAGCTCTGTTGCTGTGCATATCAAACATTCTCTGTCGTTCTTCCACTACTCCACACTTCCCGGTCATGGTACTTGCTTAAAAATTGTTATAGTTCTAGGGTATTCTAGTTTCACATAATGTCATCTACCTCAAACTATAATCGTCTCTCTCCAAAAGAAGTGCTGCCTGACAAGCTGAGTATTCTGCTTTTATTTCAGTGTTATGTTCGTTTACCAAGTACAATATGCATCAAGGTTATCATTTGTCTCTATTGAGTCACCAACTGATCAACTTGCACAACATTCCCACAGAAAATCAGACACATCCCTCCCTCTGACGTCTATTGTCCCTTGTAATACAGAAACACAATCCAGAACAAACTAAAGGAGTCAATTCTTTAAGAGAACAGAAGAGTGCTATTGTTAGTAAGGCACTAGAAATCACAGTTCTGCAAGGTAGAAAGTGCTTTTCAATTTGTTAATGCAAAATTCCAAAGAATTTGTGGAGATTTTACAAAAGTGCGAAAATAATTTAAGATATCATGTAATAGGAAATGTAGTCTTCCTTCCAAATTAAGAGCACCCTTGGCTTGTCAGCTGCAATATTATTGTTTATGCAATACAGATAATATTCAAAAAGTAAAAATGTATTGGAAAAAACTACTTCCGGTTACAATATAACAGAATAATCTCGTCATAAATACGTCAGGATCCAACCGTACTCTTACAACATCCAATATTGCTTCGTCATCACTTCTTTTGATTTTTATCAGATTCTCGTCTGATATTCAGTCCCACAGAAGCAGAAGCTTCTTCCTCCTAAATGTCAGGGAGACCAAAGCCATTGAATTAAATCTGGTTGTAAAAGCAATTTCCCAGCCATTCCTCCTGAGCCATTGTCTCAAGCTAGGAACCTCAATGCTGTGTGGGATGCCGAGCCACTGACCCCACGTGCCCCTCAGTTCACCTGATGTTTAAACTTTCATCCGCAGTTTTCTCACCTCTAAATTTAACTGTTCCCATTCTTTGCCAACAAGCATCCTACCTTCCATGACCATAAGCACATCAAAAACTGCATAGCTTGTATCCTCTCACCTAGTCCTGTTTATCCATCACCACTGTGCTTTGTGAACTAAATTTCAAGTCCTACAATACCTTGATGAATTTCTGCATGTTCAAATGCCTCTTACCCATTATCTCTCCAACCTTCTCCAAGCTTATAACATTTCTAGAACTCAGCATCCCTCTAGCTCGGACCTTCATACATCCCCATTTTCCTTCATTTCACCATTGGAGAAAGTGACTTAAACCATTTAGTTCCCGAGTTCAAAATTCCCTTCCTAGCCCTACCTCTTCCTGTCTTCGAAATTTTCCTGAAAAGTAACCGCACTGATCAAATGCTAGTGCTGGAATATGGACCATTTTCTGTTTAGGCATCTAGCACTCCAGGTCAGGTATAGCACAAAGTGCATAGTATAATGCCACCTCTGTGTCACTATACATTTGCACTCCTTCAATACAACTCCATCTCCACACCATCTTTTCACACATTATTTTAAAAGTTTCAAATTCTCTTTTCCAACGGCACTTTTCAATCTCTCTTCAGCCTTCTCTTCCATTTCTCCATTCTGTGTCCTCCGTACAGTGCTCCGAAATGCCTCATCAAAAATTACAGAAACCTAACACTGATATCAGTTCTTTTCCCCTCAAATGGAGCTACCGTGTGAAATCATTAACATGTTGCTTAACACTGTCAAATTGGAGCAAATTATAGAAAACATTTGTAAGAATAGTTAAATAAACCTGCAAATTTTAACCAACTTACAGTCTTAATATTTTAACCAGGACAATATTTTAACAATTACTTCAACTCTTGAAGTTTCATGTGCCAGCTCTTAAGATACTCATATACAGAATATATATTTTTTGTTCAATTCTTGCAATTACATTTATTTCCAGCTTTTAGGTGATAGGTTATACGCTCAAGAATTTGTTTATGTAGCCAACCTCCACTTTCAGCCTGGAGATGCAGGAAATGCAATTGGCAATACATGAAGGTAACAGTTTTTTGTGGTTTTGGTTGCCCTGGAGCATCCTCCTGCAGGAGGCAGGGGCGCTGTGTATCTCCATACCCACTCCGTCACGGGTGACAGCATCGGAAGACAAACCAGGACCCCATTAGTCGATGACAACAAGGTGCAGGGCTGGATGAACACAGCAGGCCAAGCAGCATCATAGGAGC